CCTCCCCCCTCCCCTACTGAGTCAGACCAGGAGTTCTGCTGTGTCTTTTATTTTTTTATTTATTTAATTTATTTCCTTTGTCCTGAACCTTTTGTTGTTTGTCAAATAACTTTGAGCCTCGGTCAGAAAAAAAGACGAGGGTTTTATATTTCTGGTCTGACAGGAGGAAAGACATGGTGGACTGAGGTCGACTGAAGTAACTTTTTTTGTCGCCACAGGACGTGTTTCCTCCTCGCGACGCAGCGCATCAAATCAGACCATTATTTAAGAAAAATTAAATGTGTCATATACCTTTTATCATAACTTCAGATCTACTTGGCCTAACAGCACAATTTAAAAACTGCTTTAAAGTTCAAAGTCTCTGCTTTTCACTTGAGGGTCTCAGAGAGGGCGGATCTTTACATGTAGTTTTTTTTCTTCCTAAACTTTATTTAGCTCAGCCAGCATTGACAACGCTCTGTGGGTGACGTAAACAGCTCTGCGACATGACGAGGGGCGCAGAAATCGCGGGACACAACGAATCGATAATGAAATCCGTTGCCAACGCTTTTAATAATCGATTTTTTATCGATTTATTGTTGCAGCCCTAGTGTGAATCTACAATCTTCATACTCATGCAAATAAAGACAACTCTTTGAATGAGAAGGTGTGTCCAAACTTTTGGTCTGTCCTGTACATTCACACCAAACTGGAACTTACAATCTGTAAAAATGAATKAATTACAGACTTTTATGAGTTTGCCAAGATTTTGTTTCTTTTTTCYCTTTCTTCATACTCAAACTGCCCTAGTATCTTTGGTTAACCTGCACACTGTACATGACAACACAACAGTATAAGCTTGAAGATTAAAACAGTTCCCAGTTGAAACTGACCTTTATGAGCATGAACCTTTGCATGGGCTCATACCACTGCAACAGGACGATCCCAGACTGAAGGGCCCCACACAGGTACTTGTGGCCTGTATACGGGTTTCTTACTGTGTGGATCAGAAAACTGTGTTAAATGTGCAACCAGAACCCACGTCAGCCAAAAACCTGCATTTTCATACACAAGTGGTAAAACGGTACTCGTACAGTGACTGCTCAGTGTTTGGACTGTAAATTAGACAAAATGGACAAATAAAAAAAGTGTTTGGAAAGGAGGGCTCACTCACCAATGCAGCATTTGTGACAGCCCTTTGTGTCAGGGATCTTTGTTGTCAAAGCAAACCGCCTGAGGGGTGAAAWCAAAAACCCAAGTTGACATGACTTAATTCTAATCTAATGACATCTAGAATCAAGGAAGCTGGCATGTTTGTTCACTCTTTGTTTTACTATCAGGACAGCGTGAATAATCAAATTGCAGAGTATAAGTGAAGCAAAACGTTTACAATCATAAAAATCTAAAATACAGCCTGATCCTGTAAAGCAGTAAAATAGCATTCCCTGAAAGAATACAGATCACCTGCTCTCTGTCACAAACTAAGATCTTCTGATGTGGAAGAGTCGTAGCTGTTTTGATCCAAATGAAAAGAATCTCCTCTGATATTGTGAGATGTTACATTTAGACCAGAGAGCGCCACCTTGAGGGCCTCAAAAGAACAACAGTTTTTAACTTCGGGCCACAGAGGGCCGTGGGACCACATTGATTTTGAA